ACAGGCACTCCTGACCGCCGCATTCACCTGACAAGTCATGTGAAGCGAAGGATCTAAGAGCACCCCCAGACCGCGAACACAGTCCTTGGAGGAGAGTGTGACTCCATCCAGGACTGGAGACTGTATTCCCAAATCTGGTTTTGGGTCTGTTACTGTTTACTGAATTCATTTTGGCAACCTGTTGCTTTTCTGAAGCAGCCTTTACTTTTACTTGCACTCAGTAATGATTCAAAGAAACATTAAGTGCTGTATATAGTCCAGCAATTTGAAAGCCATCTTCTTATTCCTTAGTAATTGATCTGAAAGATGATTTTTGGCTAGGCCATTCATCTCTTTATAGTTTTGTTTTCTCATATACCTAAAAACTAAACTAAACCCAGATTGTTACTGCTGTGTTCCATTTCTTGCCCCCAGGACCAACAAGATACTACTCTGAACAAATTATTAGTGTTATATATAGGCTTAGTTTGATGTTATATTAATTTAGCAAGATATATTGTTCAGTCTCCCCATCTGTTTTGTTGCTCATTATAATCACTTCTTGCATTTTAAGTATGAGCCACACATCTATCAGCTAGGTAGACCTAGGATGAAATCTACAATGTGCACTGTATCAGTTGCCTTCTCTGCCTGATATTTCACACTGAGTGAGAACAAAATGAGATTATCTGCTGCCTGGAATCCTGAGCTCCTTGAAGGAAGAGTGAGGTAGAAATCTGAGAGAGAAAATTATTTGGGGCTGAACTGAAATAATGGCTTCCTTCCATAGAGATATCCTGTGTGTGTGGAGAAAGGAGATCCAGAATTTATTAGGTTTGTATAAGAGAGATCAGTAGAAAAGAGAGCTTGACCTCGGGCAACTCCTGATCTCTGAACTTTGCTGGGAAACCCACATGATCCCCCCCCCATATTATATAACTTATTTTCATCTCCGCCACCACATCTCATGGCTACTTTTAATGGAAGGATAATTTTATTTTAGAACTGTGGGGGACATGGGGTTAACAACTTCCATCATCCCTCTCTGCTAACATTGCTAGCTGGAGCTGATGGTAGTTGTAGTAAAATAAAATTAGCCCTTTGTATCCACAGATTTTTTTATCCATGGATTCAACCATCCACAGCTTGAAAATGTTTTTTTTTAAAAAAAACATTCAAAAATCCAAACCTTGATTTTGCCCTTTTATATAAGTGACACAATTGTACTAAGCTGTTATATTAATGGGACCTGAGCATCCACAGATTTTTGTATCCACAGAGAGTCCTGGAAATCAAACCATAGTGGATACCAAGGGCCCACTATATCTAGAATGTCACACATGCCCCCCCCTTGCATTAGAATTTGACCTTTTCTCTGACCTTTTTGAACTGAAATATACACATTTGTGTTATAGCAAGTGAGAAAGTGATGGTAAGGACATTGCGGATCATATAAAATAAGACCGGATTTCATTATGGTAAACTCTCCTTATTTCATTTAAGAACTGCAGAGTAAGTGGCATAAAGTAATATTTGTATCTGTTCATTTGTTCTCTCTGTGGTGGAATTAAAAAAAAAAGGCACTTTCTATGTTCTTCAAAGTGCTTCAGGGATACTTATCTTGATTGGAAATGCTTTCTCCCCTCTCCAACCCATTCTAGTGAATTTCGCCATTTAGTAACATCAGTGTTATTACATGATGGGAACCAATATAGAAGAGTTATAATTTTCAAGGTATTAAATGGATGTTTTGTCCCTATTTCAGAATAAAAATATCGCTAGTGCAAAAATGTGGGGTAATGTAAGTTTCCTAAGACTTCAGCCTTTTTAAGGAAACAAAAATATTAAAATATCAAAATATAAAAGCCAAACCTGTTAGAGTCTGGCTTTAAAACAGCAGAGTAGCAGAAAAGTGATTTTGCCTAACTATGCTTCCGTAAGAACGGATATCCTAATCTAGTTAATAATGGTTCAGGTAAAGAGAAAAAATCTCACTGTCTTTAAGAGAGCAAAAAGATGGAACAGTTCAATTGAGAATCCTGAGAGAAAGAACTGTTAGTCTCAAAGGGGGTGTGATCTAAGTCCCATGGTTAGTTTGAATGAGAGAGAGGCCCCATGCCCTATTTATCTACGGAGGGGGAAAGAATGCAAAGATCTTCTAACAGTCCCCTTCTTATTCTCTTGGCCAACATCAAATATCTTCATCCCTTTGCATAGTCTCTGGAACTGATCTTTTGGTAGAGTCTTGGTAAGGATGTCTGCAATCATCACTTTAGTGTTACGGTATTCTAACTGGACAAGTCCATTTTGACATATCTCTTGCATTTTG